GCGGCGTAGTGCAGCGGCACCCAGGCGTCCTTGCCCTGCAGGCCCACGTCCACGCCACGGCGCAGCAAGGTGCGCACAATGCTCTCCTGGCCGTGCTGGCAGGCCACGTGCATGGGCGTGCGGCCCTCAAAGTCCACCTCATGCACAGACGCGTTTCTCTCCAGCAGTAGCCGCGTGCTGGCCTCGTCACCGTTTTGTGCCGCAAAGTGCAGGGCCGTCCACTGGTCCTCGTCTTTGGCGTTGACGCTGCTCTTCCGGGCCAGCAGCAACTCCACCACGGCCCGCGCCCTGCGCTCCACGGCCACGTGCAGCGGGGTGGAGCCCTTCCGGTTGGTCAGGTTGGGGTTGGCATTGTTGAGCAGCAGCCACTTGACGCACTCTTCCTGCCCGGCCTCCACCGCCAGGTGCAGCAGGCTGGCGCTGCCGTCCAGGACCAGGTCCACATCCTGCGGCTGGAGGATCTTCATCAGCCTGCTCGTGTCCCCCGACATGACGGCGTCCACCAGCTTTTTCTTCTGGATGTCCGTGGTGCCCAGATCTGCAGGAGAGGAGGGGCAAGGTCAGACGAGGTCACCCCTGCTCACTGGTTTGCGAGGCCCCGCTGGCAGGGTGTGTGGTGGCCCGTGCCCAGCAGGACCCCGGGCAGGGCCCTTGGATGTGCCAGCCTATGCTCCCCACAGAGCCCAGAGCGCCTGGCCCGCTCTGCTCATCTCTGACGCAGCTGGGAGAGCTCGGGTGGGATCTGAGGTGCTCTTCTGTCGATTTGCAAAATAATCATAGGAGGTGTTCCACGGGGTCGGAATTGGGTCGGGGGTACAAAATGCAGACCTCCATGCAGAGAGGGTGACAGCTGATGTCCTTCATTTATAAAGACGACAGCAAAAGCCCAGCCAGCACCCCTGTCTGCCTGCCTGCCTGTGCATGGCTCGGACCTGTGCCTGGAACTGGGAGGGGCCATCCAGTACCTCCTTCCCGGGGACAAAACGGGGGGCTCTTAGGATGAGCCCAGAGGATGGGACACAGAAGTAGGGCCACGCTGCCTGGCGTCCTGACCACAGGTGGGAGACGGCGGGAGGGCACAGAACTGCCAGTGGCCAGAAGAAGGGGTCCTCTCCCAGGAGAAGACCAGATGTCACCCCAGGGAAGGTTCTAGAACCCTCTGCTCTGTGCAAGGTTTCCAGCCTTCCTCAGCTTGGCCCAACTGTGCTCCGCAGCTATCTGGGGGCCCTCTGCCCCCATATCCCACCCAGGACGTCCCAACAGGGGGACCCCGACCCGACACACCCCGCCAAGCTAACAGCCTGTCCAGGGCCACCGGCACCGGCCTACCCTCATGCAGCCAGGTGGAAATACCATGCACCCTGTGCAGCCTCAGCTCGGGGATACGGCGGGGTCAGGGCTGCCCCAGGCTGCAGAGTGGGAGCCCAGTAGCCCCCATGCCCAGGGGCCAGACAGGTAAACCGCCTGCTAGGAACACCCACCAAGATGCACACAGGGACAGGACTGGTTGTGCCAGCTCAAAGAATCCCACAGTTCCCAAAAGCCAGGAGCCAGCACCCGTGGACAGCCCACCCGACAGGACACAGGCATCACAGGAGAGGGGAGGCTGTGTGTGCCCCGCACTGCCAGAGCACGGCGTGGGGCTGGCCGGGCCTCCAGGCGGGACTGCAGGCTCTGACCTGCAGACCTGAGGCTGACACAGGGCCCATTCCCTCCCACCCAGTGATGAGACAGCCTCGCAGCCGCCTCTGGATTCCAGCACAGTGACCACGCCACGGAACGCCAAGAAGTCCGCTAGAGAACAGGAATCAGCCGGGCGGCCGATCAGACTCCAACACGTGCCGCTGGCCACGCTGGCCACGCTGTCCCTGGCCCAGCGTCTCCCACTGCTCACCGCTTGTGGACGGCTCCCGCTCGAAGGACAGGGACAGCGACCCTCGGGAGGAGAAGGCGGAGTCCACAGACGACACGCCCGAGAGCCTCTTCCCACTGCCAGACGACTGCAGTTTGTGCTCGGAGCAGCTGCGGCTGAGCTCCTCCGGGCCCTCGAGGGTCTGCGGGACGCCAGAGTCCAGCTGTGACAGGAGCTCCGAGAGGCTGCAGTCGTTGTCAAAGGGCGGGGCAGAGGCGCGCTTGGGCCGCGGGGCTCCGGGCACAGCCTGCGTGACAGACAGTGAGGGCTGAGGGCTGGGGACTGGGCACAGGCACGATGGCCTCCTGGACGCTGCCTGCTCAGGGACCACACTTTCTAGACCAAAGGCAGAGCATGAAGAAGCTGCAGGGTGCAAGGGGGGCACCAGACCCTGACTGAGGACGACAGGGGAGCAGCCATGGGGCATCAGGCTGGGTCCCCTCTCCTCTGGGCCGAGGGGCTGGGCCCAGCCACAGGGACACCAGGTGACGACCCCACCAGCACACACGCCAGGCCTTCCAGCCGGGACTCGCTCTTCCTCCTGGTGCTGTCTCTGCCCACCCCTCCCCTCAGGAACTTGCCCTGTCGTGGTTGCCAGGTGTGCTAAGCCATGCACTGGCGGAGGCCTTTGCCCCACCCGGGCTCCAGTGCACTGTTCATCATGGCCTCCCGCACCCCTGCTGGGCTGTCACACCCACACACACCCCTTTCTGTTCAGGGGTACCACACGAACCCTGACTGTCTCCCTGGAGACGCTGCCACAGCAGGCCGGCGTGCAGCTCTGAGCCTCTGAAACCACCTCATGGCACTGCACAACAAACCACACAATTGCAAGGGTCCAGGTCCCCAGTGGGGGGCACAGAGCCACACTTGTGGCAGGAGCCAGCTGGCAGGCTGCCCAGGGTGCACAGGAAGGCACCGGACTGAGACCCCACGGCAAAGCCAGGGCCTTACCTCACTCCTGGGCTCTGCGGCGCTCTCCCCGCCCGGGTCTCGGGGCGTCTCCTTCACCTCCTCGTCCGGCTTCTCACAGAGGTCCTCAGTTTCCGAGGTGATTTCTATGGGAGAAAGCAGAGGTGCCCTGAGTGAGGGCCGTGCTGATACGGCAGACGGAGGCAGGGCCCCGCCAGCCCTACAATTTCTCTCGCACCCCAGGGCCTCCCTAGGAGTCAGGGTCTCTGCACTCAGAGCAGAGCCCCCTGGGGTCCCTGGAGATGTTGCGTCCTGCTCTGTGCCACTGCCGTGTGTTTGAAACACGATGACCGTGTTTGATTCCATCAGGGACACTGGAGGAGGGGAGCCCAGGCCGGGCCAGTGGGTGTCTCAGGAGAACTGGGGTGCTCGTGGGCTACAGCTCACCTTGGAAGCTGGGCCGCTCCCGCGGGTCCTCGTGCCAGCACCGCTGCATGAGGCGCAGGAGGCTGGCACAGGCGTGTGGCCGGGGCCTGCAGACGGGTGGCAGCTCCGGGCGGTGACCCTTCACCACCTTCACCATGATGTGCAGGATGTTCTTCTCATCTGTGGGAGAGACACCGTCGGGCATGTGTCCAGGGAGTGGGCACGGGATACCACCCGCCCAGGGCAAGCTTGGGCTCCCTTCAGCCTGGGGCCCAGGGCACAGCACGTTGCCCGCCATCCATCTCTGCCCGCAGGCGCAGACACCAGGCCCCACAGCCTGCTGCTGGCACTGTCTTGGCCACAGCCCTCTCCGGGTGACCCCAGCCAGACAGGTGCCCTTCCCTGTTTGGCCTGCACTGGGGGGTCCACAGTGACATCCGCCCCACTGCCCTATGTGGGGCTATGCTATTCCCATGGCAACCAACACTTCCAAGCCAGAAAGGCCTCTAATGACAGCCAGGTAAACACCTGGATGTGCTGCGCTGCCCGACAGGGACTGGAAGGCCCAGCAGAGATGCCCTGGGCTCCGCACTCAGCTGTTCCGCTCCAGGAGGCCGCCAGCCCCATCATCTGCACAGGCCCTGGGCTGTGGTGTGAAGACCCCAGACCCGCTGGTGCCCACCTGGCAGGTGGCTGGGTATAAAGGATCCACACTGCGGACTTCCGGAGTGGGGGAAGAGCAGGAGTGGGAAGGAGGCTGGATGACAGGGCAGAGCTCAGGGGGAGGTTGGGACCTAAACCTTTTCGTTCCTTTGGAGACAGTCTCACTTTGTAATGCAGACTAGCTCTGAACTCACTGTGTAGCTCAAGCTGGCCTCGAATTCACAGCAATCCTCCTGCCTCAGCCACCTGAGTGTTAGGATTATAGGCATGTATCATGCCCAGCTATTTTTTCTTCTTTGGGTTTTAAAAAAAATTAATTTCACCCAGGCGTGGTAGCGCATGACTATAATCCCAGCACTCGGGAGGCTGAGGCAGGAGGATCGCTGTGAGTTCGAGACCAGCCTGGGCTACATAGTGAGTTCCAGGTCAGTGTCAACTACATAGTGAGACCCTGTCTCAAAAAACCAAAAAAAAAAAAAAATTTTTCTCTTTCATTTCTTATGGGATTTTTACACTTCAAACTGCAAAATGATCCATGTATTAGTGGACCCTGTCAAAAAACCAAAAAAAAAAAAAAATTTTTCTCTTTCATTTCTTATGGGATTTTTACACTTCAAACTGCAAAATGATCCATGTATTTTACCACAAGGAGGGGAAAGCAGCACTAACAGATTCCCAGGGCCTTCATTGCCACCCTGGGACTCACGCTTGCCAGTGCCAAGACAAGGGCCTACAGTGAGGTGGCCGTGGGCCTCCTGGTCACATAGAGAGGACGCAGCACAGCAGGGCAGCCCCCACCCCGGGGACATTGCGGCCCCAGGGAGTGTGTACCACAGCAGGGCTGAGGACCTGAGCCCTGGGAGGCCGTGCCATGACACTCACCTGCAAAGGGCTTCTTCTGCGTCAGCACGCCCCAGATGACGATGGCGAAGCTGCAAGGGAACCAGTGTGTAAGCGCAGGGACAGCGCACAGGCTCACTGCCACCATGACAAAGCCACGGCCCAGAGGCCCTAGGCTTCCAAGGGGACGCGCTCCCCAGAGGCCAGCACAGCAGCCACACGGGCCCCACCGCCTTGCTCCGGGGAGACGGCCTGGCCCTGAGTTCCGTCTGCTCTCAGGCACCGGGCCCCTGCTGGCACCTCTGCTCCACCTCTGTGGGGCTGGGAGACACCAGGCCAGGCTCTGACCAAACCCCGTCCTGCCCTGTGCTCCCCGGGGTCACCAGGGAGCACTAGTCATGGGGCGTGGAGACATATATAAAGCACACATTTACTGCATGTGGGTAAAACACACGGAAGAAACACCGCCACCTGATATACATTCTTTTCAGAGCCCAGAAACCATCTCCCAGCCCTGGCTTCGCAGGGGCTGTGCCCAGAGCCCCAGAAGGCCCTTGAAAATTCCTTGAACACTGCAGGCTCAGAAGCTGGAACTCTGCTCCAAGCAGCATGGCATCTCGCTCTTCCCCGCTGCAAGCCGGGACACGTCCCCAGGGCCACCCCCAGCTCAAAGGCCAGCTCAGCACATGACAATGGCCACCGCCAAACCAGTCGGCCAGGTGGGTGACAGCAGACAGCAGGAGGGAGGGCCGGATGCTTCGGGGCCAGGCCAGCCCTGCACGGGTCAGGGCAGCGACGGGGCGCAGCCACATGCCCCTCCTCCTGCAGGCCTGTGTGATTCAAGGGACCGATGCCCCAGGCAGCGCTCTCTGGGCGCACAGGTCCTGCCAATTTCCCGGTGCAAAGCCGCTCACATAGCAGCCCACACACTTACGGGTCCGTGGGTTCCTCCCACACCCGGAAATGGAGCCCGGGTTACTTGGAAACAACAAAGGGCACGTGGCACGGTGGAGCGGCTTCTGTGTACCCGGCCCCGCTCTCCCACGGCAAACAGGCCTCCCACGGCCGGCCGGCAGACCCACCTGTACACATCGTGCTTGGTGTCAAAGAGCCGGCTCTTCTCCCTGATGCGCTCCGGAGGGAGGTAGGCGATGGTGCCGAACAGGCCGTCCACGCTGAGGTCGTGGGAGTGGGACAGCCCGGTGCACTTGGCCAGCCCGAAATCGGAAATCTACGACACGGCAGAGGGAGGCATCTGACCTGAGAGGCCATTCCGGGGCTGGGCTGACTCCCCTGAGCCCCACAGACTCAAAGTGCAGAGGGAGAGGAGCTGCAAAAGTGGGGAGAGGGGCACAGGCCGCCGCAGCCACCTGGGTGCAGGGAGGAAAGCAGCCGGGGCTCCAGCCTGGCAGACGGAGACGGTGCCGCCCGGAGCGGGTTATGCAAGCCCCCAGCTGGCCCGGCAAGTGGCAGCAGGCCCTTTAAAGGGCAGCAAACCCTCAGAAGCCTCGGCAAACAACACACACACCTTGCCGCCCTGGGCGTGCTCTGCTCTGCCCTGCCCGGCGTTTTGTGACCAGCAGACACTGGCTGGCTCCTTCCCCAAGCACACGGCAACCTCCTGCGGCAGTGCCCGGCCTCTCACGCACAGGGGGCTGGGATCCCGTGGCAAAGGTGTCTGCACCCGGGCTGGGGACGCCGAGGCCTCTCGGGGCAGCAGCACCTCCCCTCCTGATGCTCTGAGGCGTGGAGCCCAGCTCCTGCACGCTCGTGGGACTCCGGTCCCGAGGGCACGCGGCCCCTCGCCCTTCTCCAGTATCACAGGTGTGTGAGCCCTGCATCCCCTGCCGGGCTCCCCAGGAAACAGCGGAGTCAGGACCTGCTTCTGGCGGGCTGACCCCAGGAGGGAGCCCAGGGCCTGGTGCTGCCACAGGGAGCGAGAAGGCCCCGGCAGTCAGGCCCAGCCCTGGGCTCCACACTCGGGCTGGGAAGAGCAGGCTCCAGGCCTCACCAAGCCAGGCACCAGGTCTGGGTTCCCTAGGAAGGCAACTGCCTGGTCTCCAGGATGACACCACGGCCATCCTCAGTCCACAGCGAGACAGACAGCAGCTGCAACCCTACAAGCAAGCTCAGGCCCACAGGAAGTCACAGTTCGACAACCACCAGTCACCTGAAACACTTTAAATCCACAAAGGCAGGCAGGCTTGACCTGGGGACCCTGGTGCCCCGGCTTTCCCTGCCACGCGCCATGCCATCTCTCCTGTCACGGCCACAGTGACCCTCTGGAATACACTCGGACAAAGCACTGGTCACCAGGCACCAGGAGCTCAGACCCCGGGACACCTCGTCCCTCAAGCCCACACTCAGCAGCTCTGATGGCCACTGACCCCTCTCACTGCCGTCTGAGTCGGTAACCCCAAGACTTGTGACCCCCAAGTCGTGGCACTGCAGCAGCAGGAACAGAGAGGCGAGACGCATCAAGGGGCCCGTTGTGACCTTACAAAGAAGGACAACGGGCGGACGGCAGACTGCACACACGAACGCGGATGACTGCCAGCTCATGTTCAATTCGAGTCACCTCTGAGTCCACAGCGGGCTGAAGCCTGGCCCTCACACCAGGCTGCACCCCAGCACGTTTTACGTATTCGGTTGGTTAGGCAGTGGGATGGGTGCTGAAGCCAGGGCCGCAGTGCATGCCGGGCAAGGGCTCTCCCACTGCGCTCCATCCCCAGCCACCCCTTCTCAGTTTGAGACAGGGTCTAAGTTGCTAAATTGCCCAGGCTGGGCCTGACTTGTGATCCTCCTGTCTCAGCCTCCCAGAGTACAAGGATTCCAGGAGTGTGCTGGGTTAAAATCCGCATTTTAATGAGGCTACAGCTTTCTCTGACACAGAGCACTAGGCAGAGCAGCTGGCTGGGTGAAATTTCAGCTCTACGCACACCCGGTGTGGTGAGGCGGTGCGGCCCTGGGGCCCATCCGGCCTATATGCTCCAAGTTTGGTGCTCCCGAAAACGGTCCCCAGGAGGGGCACTGCTGGCTCTGTTTGCTGGGCAGCGTTTCTACGGCACTCACCAGGGAGATGTGTGCGCGGGAGCTCACTTTAATGTTTGGGTTTTTTTTGTATCTGGGATCAATCTCCGGCACTTGTGCTTGCAAGGCAGGCAGCAGAACCACTGAGCTAAGTCCCTGGCCCTAATGTTTTTGGGTTTTTTTTCCCAAGCTTCTGCTGCTGACTCAGAAGGGCATCGGGTGACTCAGCCTTTCCAGGGACCGCGCTGTGTCTCCACCTGGGGCAGGGGTCACTTCCTGCCTGGGGACCCCCTTCCTGGCCACTTGGCCCAGAACTGCCACTGAGCCAGTCCTTCTTAGCTGAGGCCTGGAGTGGACAGCAGGCACCAGGACTCCAGCACCATCTCCTCACCAGACAGCATTAAGCACCCGCTATGTGCCAGGGCCGGGTAGACGCCTAGCTGAGCAGCAACACCGTGGCCTGGAGAAGAGCTCTGGGGAACGGAGACAGGGCTAGCAGCCACCTCCCTGACCCCAGAAGACAGCACAGGCGAGAGCCACCACCGTGCCCAACTCTGGAGGCGGGGACAGCACCTAGGCAGTTCCTCACTCCTTAGGCAGCCCAGGGTGCCCAGGGAGGACAGACATCGGGAAGCCCCAGGGCCCCATCATGTGAGTAGACCCGGGACACCACCACAGCTCACGCCTGGTCACCTAATCCATGTCCCCAGCACCCCAACCCTCTGCTTCACTCCCAGGACAGAAAGTCCGCCATCTCGCCAGAATCTTACGGTGTGCAAACTTGAACTACAGTCCCGAGCCAAGAAACGGGTCCACAGGGCTGCACCCAGGGGCAGGACCAGCCAGGGCCAAGGGGCAGGGCAGCGGCACACACCCTCCTGGGAGCCCACGGCCCCACCTTGACGTGGTAGTGTGCGTCCAGCAGGATGTTGGCGGGCTTCAGGTCCAGGTGCAGCAGCGGAGGGGACATGCAGTGCAGGAAGTTCATGCCCACGGCCGTCTCATGCACGATGCGGAAGCGCAGGTCCCACGGCAGCGGCTCGGAAGCCAGCAGCCTCTCCAGCGAGCCCGTCTCCATGTACTCCATGACCAGGCCCACAGGCTCCCGGCAGATGCCGTACACCGGCAGGATGTAGCGGAACTTGGCCATCTCCATCTTCTTGGCCTCAGGTCGGGAAGCGCAGCCTCTCCAGCGAGCCCGTCTCCATGTACTCCATGACCAGGCCCACAGGCTCCCGGCAGATGCCGTACACCGGCAGGATGTAGCGGAACTTGGCCATCTCCATCTTCTTGGCCTCTTCCAGGAGCTCCAGGCGCTCCCTGAAAGAGTGCAGAGGCATGAGGGGTGTGGGGTGGTCAGGCCACCCTTGGGGCGCACGTGGGCCCCAGGGTTCCCCTGACGCCCAAAGCTAAGCACTGGGCCTTCCAGAGCCTGCTGACCCAGCTCTCCAAACCCCCGAATGGGGGGCGACTGACCAGTGCCTGGGGTGACTGCCACAGGGGTCAAAGCAGCAGAGGGGCGGCCATCGTGGGCCCCGTCTTCCCTGTGAGCCCCCCACTTCCCGGGCTCCAGTTATTCCCGGATGCACCCCCCGTGCGGTGGAAGGGCTGTGCTCCGGAGCAGGTGCAGCCAGCTGTTTTCTACAGAAGTAAAACACACGTGATGAAGCATGTGTCACATCGGCCATCACACGTGCGGGCACTGGCTCACACATCACACTCCCGACGCATGACTCCCCATCTCCACCCAGACGGATCCTTCCCCAGCCCCAGCCACCACCCTACTACCGCCTGCAAATCTGCCTAAACCAGGGCCTCACTCCTAGGCAGACCCAGACAGCATCCGTCTGGCCGGCTAATTCACCACGTGCGGCTCCAAGGGCTGCTGTGTCAGCACCCACCCTAACCGCATCCACTCGCAGGAGGATGAACAATGGAGACATACTCCTACTTCCTGTCCCTCCACCCATCTGCCACAACTGTTCCACCCCTGGCTCTTAGGAGTAATCCCGTACCTGTGCGCAAGCCAGGGTATGACGTCTGCTCCGACCCTGCTTTTACCGCTCGGCGATACACATCCAGCCGTGAGACTGCAGCCTGGGGCCCCACAGGTCTGCGTTTGCTGGAGGAGCGGCCAAGCCGCTGGCCACAGCTGCCTCCTGCCTGTGACCGAGCTTCCACAGGGACAGCTCCCCTACTTGTTTACTCCCGGGGCCTGAGGAGACCTTGAGGGGCCCCCAGTGGCAGGGACCTTCAGCCCCCCACGGAGGACTGCCAGCCCCGGCTGAGGTCACCCTCCTGGCGCGGCCTGTGTTTAGAGGAAAAGCACAGAAGGCCGGTCTGTATCCGTCAGGGTCAAAGTCCCAGCATGTACTGAGGGGAAGAGGCGAAATCCCACGAGGACCCGGGCCAGTGACTTTCCAAAACAGACATGCAGAAGTCAGCCCGGAAGCTGGCAGGACACACAGCAAACACCCAGGAAGCTGGCAGGAGTGTGGGTTCCCGGGCTGGCTTAAGAACGTGTTCCGCACTGGGAAATCTGCTTTCTAGTAACAACAGGCTACCTGAAGGGAACACCCAGGGCCACCCGAGAGCCCCGGTCTGCTCCATTTGGGAACTGGGTAGCTTGGGTGTCCCCACAGCCCTGCACCTTGCAGGCCCCAGGGCTCCCAATCAAGGGCTTTTCGGCTGCTGGGAAGCCACCCTGCACCCTCTGGTCTGCCTCAGAATCTGATTCTCTGCCAACAGTCATGGTTTGTACAGGTCCAACCTCAGCTCTGACTCTGGACCAGCTCCCTGGTAGTTAGGAATATTCCCCCACTCAGGAAGGAGCCCCGGATTCTACTGCTTACCAAATCCCCATACGGCCGATGGGGAGCAGCCCCCTACCAGCCCACTGGGCACGCACCGGGGTGCTGCTGGGGCTCAAGTAGAGACCCTGGCCTTAGGAACGGGAAACAGGCCTGGGATGAGTCACCGTGTCACTACTGACCCAAGGCGCCTTCAGTACAGCTTGTTCTCCTGGCATTCTGGCCAAAGGACCAAACGGAAAGATCCGCACAAGAGGGCAGTGCTGGCCTGGGAATGCCCTGCCCACGCCCCAGCAGCCCGGAGCCCACCCGGACCTAGGCCCTCCTGAGCACCTCGGGGAGCGCTGCGCGCTGTCCTTCCCCAGCCTGCTGACCACAGCCCTGTTCCTGACTCAGCCAGCTTCTTAAGAGAGAGGAGCTGGAAGCCTGGCCCACAGACCAAGGCTCTGGAGGAGGAGGAAGTGACATCTCCAGGGAGTCTTCTCCCCCTGGTCGCCCGCCTGAGGACCTCACTGTCACCGGAGTCCCCAGAACAAGGCCGCCTACTCCAAGCACCTGCCGCCACCTGCTGCCCTACTTTGTTTCTTGTTCCAAATGAAAGTGATGATTTTTCCTTTTTCCTACCGCTTTAAAAACCAGCAAGGGCCAGGGATTTAGCTCAGTGGTTCCACCACCTGCTTCACAAGCGCAAGGTCCCAAGTTCAATCCCCGATACCAAAACCCAAAACAAAACACAGCCCCCCAAAAATGTGAAGCTGTGGGGCAAGCAGGCCCAGGGGGCGAAGGGGGAAGTGAAGATGATTAAAGTACGTGACATGCCTTGGCCCATCCACCCGAATGAAAACCCGCTCATCTATTTTTTTAAAAAATCTCAACTAGACCTGAAAAATTTAAGACGAAATGGGGCTTCTCATTCATGTTTCTAAAATGTACTGAGCACCCACTACCTGCCAAGTACTACACTCAGTGGGAAGTTCACATGGGCAAGAAACCAGATGCGTCCCCACTGGTCCTTGTGGAATCTGTGCACACAGCCGGTAGGTAGGGGCAGATCTGAATGAAGGCAAGCTCAGCGCCAGAGGGGGCCCACCCTGTAGGACAGGAGGTTGCCCAGGCGGGGCAGGGGGACTCAGAGCACAAGGAGCCCATCTACAGGGCCACAGGAAGCAGTCACACCTGGGAGGGCTAACAAACACGAGCAGCCCCAGTGCCCGGTGGGACCAGAGACCCTTGCGCTGTGAACCCCGGCACAGGGCACCCCCATCCCCGAGGATGAGCTCAGGTTCACGCCTGGCCACTGGGCGACCTTCTAAGAATGGCCTCTCAGAGCGAGCTAGCAAGCCGATGTGAGGGGTCACAAATGTGTATCGGGGGGAAAAAAACTGATTCAATTAAGACTGACCATCTTATTAAATATCTGAGCCATGCTGCAAAAATCAAAACAAAGTATTTTCTTCCACCTGCCCCCAGGGCCCAAGAGTCGCCACCCCCAACAGCACAGCAGAACACACCCCTCCCACCGCGGGGCTGGGCCCGTCCTCCCTCCCGGCCAGCCCTGCAGAACAGAGACCCCATTTAGGGGCCTCCAGCGCCGCTCCGGTAAGGAAGGGAGCCACACCGAGCGGCGCCAGGGCCACTGGCTCTGGGCATTCCTGAGGAAGTCAGCCAGTCTGCGGAACACAGCCACTCCTTTCCTGTGAGGAACGCAAAGTATAAGTAAAGTAAGTCAGAAAGCAGGACAGAGCCTTCCCAAACTGGAGTGGGGGGAGAGACAGAAAGGTGAGTGAGCGGAGGAAGGTGGAGATAGAAAGAATGCAGATGTGCTGTGTACAAGACCGACTCCACTCCACGAACGGAACGTAATCGCCGTGTACTGCAAACACGGGTGAATAAAAATTTTCAAAAATTAAAATCACCATTTTGGGCTGGCACGGCAGGACTCTGGCCGAGGAAGGGGCAGGAAGTCACTCCTGAGTCAAATCCTGAGGACCCCAGCTCCGGCGCACTGGAGGGGCCAACCCAGCGCAGGAAGCTGGAGCTGGCGGCATCTGCAACTCAATAGGCCTGACGAGACGCCAGCTGGGGGGCTTTCCCTCCAGGAGGCGTTGTTCTCTGCCCTCCTTATTTACAAAACACACCCACCAGCAGCCCTTCCGGTTCAGATAGGGACCAAGCCAAGAGAAAGGAACTGGAGATCTGGGGTCTTCAAATGTTTACTGACTTACTTTTTGTGGGAATAAACCCGAGGCCCTTATACTGAGCCACACACCAGCCCTTTTAATACCGAGACAAGGCCATGCCAAACCACTACATAGCCTGGGCAGGGCTCAAATTTTCCAGGCTCCTGCCTGGGCCTCCCAGCATCGGGGTGGATCACAGGGGTGCACCAGCACCAGCACACCCAGCGCGTAGCTTTAGAATGATTCCTGTTATTTTAGAGCTTGGAGAGGTTTTCCAGAGCCTGTCCCTGGGCCTCAGTGCTGGGGCCGGGGCCGGGGCAGAAGCCACCGTTACTGGATCCCGTTTCTCACGGTCCTGGGGCAGCAGGCGCCCCAGATCGGTGCAATTAAAGCAACCTGAAGGCGGTGACGCGCTGCGCTCCAGGAGAGCCCGCGTCCATCATCTTCCCGTCTGGGGGAAAGGGGACTAACTGGCTTCCGGGCAGGAAGGGAAGGGAGGAGTCCCCACCCTGGCCCCCTTTGGGCTCCAGAAGGAAGAGGTCTGGGTGGGACAGGACGGAGCGGGCTCCACTTGTCAGCCTCTCTGGGTGTCACCTTCATCCCACGGAGGCTGCAAAGCCAAAGGTCCCGCAGTAGGCTCTGGACAGAAGCCACCTTCTCTCCCCGGCTCGGGCACCCAATCCAGAGAGGGGGGAAGAGCTGGGAAGCCAGGCTCTGTGGGAAAGGGGTAAGAATGGGCGGGGCTGCCGGGTGACGAAGGAGGGCGCTCGCTTGGTAAGAAGGGCCCGAGGGAGGCCCGGGAGCCACCTTAGGAAAACACGGACAGCCTCGGCACGCCAACCCAATTACACTCCCAGGCGCTCCGAGGGGTTCCCACACTGCTATTTTTAAAACTGACAAGAATCGGGCTTGTCCAAGTGTCAGCCTAGAGTCACAGACCCGGGGTTTGCACAGGCTCGCCCGCCAGCGGGTGCCCAGCTCCAAGAGTGCTGTGCCTGCCTGACTCGCCAGGTGCTTTGTTATTCTGCGTCTCCTCTGAGGGCACAGGGAGAGAGGCCTGGGCCACTGTGTTCCACCTTGAAGAACACCAGCCTCTGTGCTGCACTGCAGACCCCGAGGCCCCAGTGAGACCTGGGGGCCAGATCTCCCCAGAGCCAGCCAGGGATCCCCCTGAGGCACAAAGCCCCATGAGGGAGCAGGGAAATGCGTTGAGGGGAGTTACACCTGTGAGGGGGCCCTCGAGTGAACGTTTCCCTGCCCCCAGGAGGCTGGATGCGCGGTCCTGGCCAGACCTTCCCTGCAGAGATGCAAGGCCTGGGGTGGACTGCAGCTAATAAGGCTGAGGGCTGGAGGAAGGCTGGGGCCAGAGCGGCTGGCCATGGGGATCCAGGAGACCCCAGCAGAGCCGCGGGGCCAGCCAGCTGGCCAATGAAAACCGGCCTCACTCACACCTGTCCTACGATGGCTTCCTCCTCAGGGACAAGCTGGAGCCGACTCCGATCACCTGGAAACAGGCCCAGATCCAGCAGCAGGCAGGGCAAGCCTCAGCCGGGAGGGCTGCACAGGCAGACGCCCCAGGAAAACCCTACTCCTTTCTCAGGGCAAGGGCTCGAAAGCGGGGGTGGAAGGTGCGCATCAAAGGAGCCCTGAAAAAATGTGCAGGGCACAGCTAGGCAAGGCTTAAGGCAACCTCGCAGGACTGCCGCAGGGCCACCTGCAGGGCAGGGACGACGGAGCCCGAGGAGCCGGCTCCGTGTACACCGCGGGGCTGACCACCTTCTCGGTCAGAGAGCAAACGCCAGTCCAGCCCCAGGCCTAGTGGAAGAGGCCCAGCTTCCTGTCGGGCCGCTGACCTCGACCCAGCCTCTGCCCGACAAGCTGCCACCTGCCTGCTTCAGGCAGGGCCGGGCAGGCTTCCAGGGAAGGGGCAACACACTTGAACCTGCGTTCGTGGAGAAACCCTCCCGCCACTGGGCCACCCAAGACAGCAGGCAGGGCCAGGGGCAGGCAGAAGACTCCAGGGTGCAAGGTTGGACCCCGCCTGGGCAGCGGCCTGTCACTTGGCTCTTCCAACAGCAGAAATTATTCAGTTCTTTGCTAGTGAACAACACTCACACAGACCTGACAACTCTCCTGGACATTCCTGCCCCAGAGCATAAAAAACGCTCCTCCATCAGAATCCAACCGGGGCCGGCATTCAGAGTGGTTTGGATTTCGTCAAAATAACCACAGCAGCCTGCCAGCCGGAGTTCCCAGGAGCAGAGGCACAGGCAGAGAGGGAAGGCTTTTCCCACACAAGCTCAGCACGCCAGGCAGCCGGGGCTGCTGCTGGGGACTCAGGACAATGTCCCTCTCTAGGGCAGCTTCCAAGAGACACTGCGCTGGCAGGTAGCAGGCGCTGAGACAGCCTCCCATCTAACGATAAATGCACAGGTGGGGCCTCTCCTCGGCAGACACGCAGTGGGTGTCGCTCACGATCCCCCAGACAGGAGCACCGCCACCCCGCCGCCTAACAGAAGCCTCAGAGCCACCCCCACCCCCGGGCCGCCACCGGCTGAGCCCCGGAAGCCAAGTCTGAGGCTGTGGAGTTAGAAGGGGCTGCAAGCCTGGGTCTCCGACTCCGGAGTCTCCGCTTAACCCCCACGTAGAATGTAAACGGCATTCATTACAGATTAACGAAGCGCAACACAAACACGGCTTTAACTCAGGGCTCAGCAACCTAACGCACCACAGTGAAGTCAATACGTAAACTATCCAACCTCTACGGCGAACAACGGATCTGAATATAAAAAGGTGTCCGGAGTCTTCCCCACCCCACCCCACCCCGCAAAGGAAGCACAGACCCCCAGGCGTCCGCGGGACACAGCAGGGGC